TACATACAGTTAGAATTTTCAAAACACCGAATTTTTTTTTATTTTATTTTCTTAATGTACATATATTTAAGAATACACACAGAAAATTTCATATCGTTCCGGTGAATATTTTCAAAGTTACACACAAATTTGAAAAGGCGTTTCAGAGTGCTTGGAAGTACAAGGCCGGAGAGGCAGCGACTACCCTTTTATGCACCTGCCTTGTAAATGCTCCCTTCTAATGTATTTAGATGTGTAAATCAACAGTGTGAACAGGGTGTATTATATTGGTCTGTAATAGACGACTCCATGTAATTTAAAAAATAAAAAATTGTATTCCATGTAAACTGCATTCCAAACTTTAAACGCGTTTTTCTCTGAATGGTGTTTTCAAAGTCGGTGACCAACATTACTCGAAAACGGCTAAACCGATTAGTCTCAAATTTTAACACGAGCTTCTTAAATATATTTTTTAGTAATTAATCGAAGATTTTTTCTCTCCGATAAATATTTTTGTTTTTATAAACAATTTAAGGCCGAAATTTCGGTGAAAAATCGATTTTTTTTTTTGAGAAACCGCCATTTTGTCAAAAAATTTTATTTTGCTTATTCCTTCGATTAATTACTAGATTAAACATTACTTTAACGAAATCTGTTTGGTTTTTTAAATTCAGATGATCCAGTTCAGAGTTATAGTGGTCACCGCAAAACGTCTTTTTTGAGAGGAGCATCCGGAGATCAGCTGTAGCTCTTTTCCAAATAAATATTTTTACTAGTACTAAGTCTTAAAATATAGTTAAAAGATACCATAATATGTGTATAAATTTTTGGATCAATAAATTTAAAAGTTTTCTCAGAAAAACTTCTGAAAAATTCACTTTTTTTCGGCCTTCTAACTGTATATAACCCCTTAAATAAAAACCTGTTGAATCTTGTCTAGACTGATACCAATGAGATTTTTAAAACTAGTCATAAATCAACCACTTTAATTACACCACATGTCAATATGGTCATAAATTAAGCACTTTAATTACAGCCAAAAAGTATCCCATATCGCTTTAATTACATCAAACAGTCAAAGGGGTCATAAATCAATCACTTAATTACCCTGTGTCGGCACTAATCAATCCCTTAATTACCCTGTGTCGGCACTAATCAAACCCTTAATTACACACACCTGTCAAGGTGGGTCATTAATCAATCACTTAATTACCATCTCGTACCACCCCATCTTCTACTATTATTGTGGTTGGGAAATCATTTGAGGACCATATGAAGAACTTGAAGGAAGTTTTTCAGCGCTTAAGAAGTTCCGGCCTGAAGCTTAGCCCAAAGAAATGTCATTTGTTCCAGAGGGAAGTGCAGTATCTGGGCCATGTCGTTTCAGTTCAAGGAGTTGCAGTGGATAAACAGAAGGTAAAGACGGTGCGAGAATGGCCAATACCGAAAAACAAACATGACTTAAGAAGCTTTCTTGGATTATGCACCTATTACCGTCGGTACGTACCAGGATTCGCAAAGGTTGCTAAGCCTTTGACACGTTTAACAGAGGGAGAAAGACGATTCCAATGGGACGACGAATGCCAAGAAGCCTTTAAAAACCTGAAAAACGCGTTGACCAGCTCACCAGTCCTGAGTTATCCTTTTCCGGATGGTGAATTTATTTTGGACACGGACGCCAGCAATGTAGGACTAGGAGCTGTTTTGTCGCAGATTCAGGAGGGAAAAGAGAAAGTTATTGGATACTTTAGTAAAACTCTATCGAAACCAGAGAGAAATTACTGTGTTACTCGACGCGAGCTGTTGGCAGTGGTAAAATCAGTCGAACACTTTTACAAGTATCTGTATGGAAGAAAATTCTTGCTAAGAACGGATCATGCTGCCCTAAAATGGCTTTTGCAATTCAAGAATCCTGAAGGACAGGTAGCAAGATGGATTGAGAGACTACAGGAGTTCGACTTTGACACAGAACATCGGGCTGGGACCATCCATAGAAATGCTGACGCCTGTAAACATTGTCTCAGGGCAGAAGAAAAGGATGAGTTTGTTCGGAGAACTACAATCGTGGATGATCATTGGCAATCCGCTGAGGTTCAACAAGACCAGGAAAGGGATCCGGATTTGAAGCTTATCATCGATTGGAAGAAGAACGACCGTAAACCAACGTGGCAGGAAGTCGCCCAATATTCGCCGAATGTGAAATCGTACTGGGCCCAATGGAATTCCATTATCTTAAGTGACGGGCTTCTAAAGCGCGTTCTGGAGATGCCAGAAGGGGGGGAAGACCGGAAGCAGATAATAATCCCCAGAAACAGGATACCAGAACTGCTGCAGGAAATCCATGATGGAACTACTGGAGGACATCTTGGGGTGACCAGGACGCTCGGAAGACTTAGGGAACGGTTTTATTGGGTCAACAGCCAACGGGATGTGAAGGAATGGTGCAAGAAGTGCGCCGTTTGCGCGGCAAGCAATGGACCCCAGAAGCGCCCAAAAGCCCCAATGCGACAGTACAATGTGGGCAGCCCATTTGAGAGAATTGCAATCGACGTGGCGGGTCCATTTCCGGAAACAGAATCTGGAAATAAATACATCATCGTTGTAATGGACTACTTCAGCAAGTGGGCGGAAGCGTACGCTTTGCCAAATCAGGAAGCTGCCACAGTAGCCGATGCCCTTATTAAGGAGTGGATTTGTCGTTTTGGTGTGCCAATGGAGATGCATTCAGACCAAGGCAGGAACTTTGAATCTATATTGTTCCAGAATGTCTGTAAAATTCTTAACATTCGAAAGACGAGGACGACTGCATTACATCCGCAGTCCGATGGAATGGTAGAACGAATGAATCGAACCATAAACCGGTACCTGTCCAAGGTAGTCTCTGATCACCAAAGAGACTGGGACCGCTTCCTTCATCTGTTCCTGTTGGGGTACCGTTCTTCTATCCACGATACAACCGGCCAGACACCCGCTAGCATTGTTATGGGACGTGAACTTCGTCTACCTTGTGACCTGAGATTTGGTTGCCTACCAGGGGATGATATTGCTGGAGAAGATTACGTCAACAATTTACGTAGAAAAATGAGCGACATTCACAGCCGAGTTCGTTTAAACATCCAGATTGCCAGTGATAGAATGAAAGAGGCATACGACATCAAGGCGGAAAATGGAGGATTTCAACCTGGAGACCTAGTTTGGTTATACAACCCTCAGCGCCGTCGTGGTTATTCACCGAAGCTGCAGACTTCTTGGGAGGGACCTTACGAAGTTATGGATCGAATAAATGACATCATCTACAGGATCAGGAAACAACCAAGAGGAAAGCCGAAAGTGATCCATTTCAACCGATTGGCCCCTTACGCTGGAAACAATGACGATGCTAGAGTAAGGAGAGTTAATCCGCCGGAAGACGAGTTGCCTTTTGAAGACTTCATGTATTTATATTCGAGCGGTAAAAAAGCTCGCTTTGGTGTCACTCGAGAAGAACAACAAGATCTGTTCACAGTTTCGGCCGATTACTCCTTGGCTCACTGTGTTGCAGAAGACCTAAGGATGTCCAGGGGAATAGCGGTTGTTTTTAAAAACAAGTTTGGACGGATCGACGAGCTACGAAGGTAGAATCCCAAAGTTGGAGAGGTGCTTGAAATTGTGAATAATGAGCAGATAGGCAATAGAAGTATCTTCTATCTGGTAACGAAGCAGCTCTCCCATCAGAAGCCAAACTACCGTGACGTATGGAATGCCTTAAATAAATTGAGGGATGCCCTTTTATCTAAGGACATCATGAACCTGGCGATACCGAAGATTGCTTGTGGACTTGACGGTTTAGACTGGAGAATAATTAGAAGTATGGTGGAAGTTATCTTCAGATTTAGTGGCATACACATTCTTGTCTGTTGCCACAACCCTAAAAGAACAACCGGAAGGAAGACCGTAGACTGCTACTTCTATAGGACGTCACAATGCAAGTTTGGATCTCTATGCAAATATCGCCATGGAGCTGAGGACCATTTTCGGGACGAAAATGTTTTAAGACGGGGGCAATGTAGCGAGTACCGCCCTGGCTATCGGAGTGATGACTCATCGCCGATTAGTCATTGCCGGTGAGTCATCGCCGGTGACTCAGCGCTCGAATAATCGAGAGTGTGGAGCTCGCTGGAATGTTCCAGAATACTTGGGCGCTGGATAAATAAGAAACGGAGCAACACAGAGCAGTCAGTTGAGCTTTGGAACTCGCGAAGAAATAAATAAATATAAGTGCAAATAAATAAACTAGTAGTGATATAAATAATTAGTAGTTAAGTGTTTAGTTAGTTTTATAGTGTTTTAAGTGTAGTTAAGTTATTAAATAAATTGTTTAGTTTGTTAATTAACCAGTGCGTGTTTTAATTCACACTACGAACAGTTAAAAACGTTACAATAGCGATTGTCCAAAAAATCCATATAACCAAAAAAAGGCGGAAAACTTACAGAGCCGTGCTCAAACGGACTGAACCCTTTTTTAATAATTTCTAGAGACATAAATGACTGCACCATTTGACAGGGTAGAGTTTCTACCTCTCTGTTGAATATAGAAAATCAAAATAATGTATCTTGTAAGACACCATTGAGTTTGACTTTAAATATAGTCGTGCATAGGTATAGAGCCGAAAAATATAAAAACAAAGCACGATTCAATACAGTTATGGTAAAACTTTAAGATTTGATATTCAAACGCGGAGTCATCCTATACACTTCTATAATTTTCCGTTTGCTGTGTTAGCAGCACGAAATTTGAAATGGCAATTTTGAAGTTCTAAAAAATGTTTTTTAAGCAGTTCAAGATTATAATAATAAACACATTTTTGAGAGAATCTATGGAAAATAACACTTGTGCAGATTATTATAGTTAATTTTTTATGGAAATCTCATGAGCGAACTCGCGAGATACAGAATAAAAAATGGCGTGTGAAAACAAATGTAACTTAAAAAATGATTTTCTTGGAACAATTGTTGTTGAGTAGGTAAGTAAAAAATAATTTACAAATTTATAATAATTTATTCATAATCAGACTTGAAAGTAAATTACAGAGTTAGGAATTTTAATTTGCATATTTAAAATCGAAGACACAGTGAAATCTCGCGTGATTTTTAACTAAAATCATGCTACCTGGGGTGTTTATTATTTTTGTGTCTTTTTAAACAATTTAATTTTGTTGTTTTATAATCACAATGTTCGCATGCATGTACTTTAAATTTCATTAAACTTATAACAGATTCGTTTACCAAATGCGAATGTTTCCTGATAATGTGGCTGCCCAAACCTCTTTTATCATTGCAGCTATGATCACAGAATAAACATTTAATTTTTTTTATTTTATTATGACTCAGTTTATGGGTTCTTAAGTAATTTTTATGAATACTTTTATAGGGGCAAACTTCACATTTATACCATTGGGCGTTTTTTAAATTTAAACATACATTAATGTGCTAATCATGATTTGATTTAATAACAGTTAAAAGTTTACATTTAGGGCACTGATAAATTTTACTTGCTATTTTTATTTTATTCTCTTTAATTTCTGATTTATGTTTGTTTAAAAGGTGGCTATCTAAACACTTCAATTCGGCGGCAATATACTCGCAAAAATGGTATTTAAAATATTTACTCTTGTCGTGTATTTTTAAGTGTTTTTTTAAATTACTATTGTCCATCGTTTTGTAATCGCATTTGCCGCATTTAAATTTTTCCAGTCCGTCTTTTCTATGAGTGTACTTTTTGTGGTAAAATAAACTCTCCTTTGTTTGGTACTGCTTGGGACAAACGTTGCACTTAAAAGACTTTTTTTTGCCGGTCATATCGTCGTTTTGAACCCCGTGATATTCCACCTCGATTTTCGTCTCAAACGTGCCTTCACCCTCATCTTCTTCTTCATCTTCATTGTGCGACAAATTTTTATCGTCTTTTTCGGAAAAGTCGTCACCCCTTTCTTCTTCCTTGGTATTGCAAGAAGAATCTTCACTTTTACCTCCATCATCAGAATTGTCACAATCTTCAACACTATTGTTGATTTCAAATCTAAAAATATTAGTGGCAATTTTATTAAGGAAAAATCAAGTGTCCGGTTAATTTTGCGGTCGAGTGTATATGTTAGTTATGTAACCAAATAGGTAAATAAAAGTTTTGGAATTTGGAATTTGGTCGCTTGGCAACCGAGAGGTCCCGGGTTCGATACTAAGAAACTGTCGAACTTTTTTTATTTTTTTTATTTCATAAATTTGTTTTTTCTTTGTTAAAGTGTTCGGTTGGGTTGGGTTGGTTTGTTTTAGTTTTATCGTAACATAAAATCTACTAGAAGTTGTCGAACTTTTTTTATTTCATAAATTTGTTGTTCCTTTGTTAAAAAGTGTTTTATTTTTATCGTAACATAAATTTGCCCATTTTAGTTGGGTTTTTTGCTCAATGGGGCGGGGGGGGGCAATGGGGCGGGGTCGGTTGGGTTGTGTTGTTGAGTTTGGGTTGGTTTGGTTTTATGACGTAATATATAATTTGGCGGTGCAGAATAGTACACCGCACGCGATGCACTAGCAACAGCGTTCTTTATAATTTAGAACATGCGGAGTGGGAGGAGCCGCCAGTGGCATTTAGCGTCTCGTGAATGAGCGGCATATGTGTTGTAAGTATATGCGAAAACCCGAAAACCAGTGGCGGCTGGTGGATTTTGGGTATTTCGATATCTCAATTATTAGATATGGGACCCACACCAAATTTATATGAGTTTATAATGACATTAAATAAACAAGTTCTGCGCAAGCAGAATTTAAATTAAAGTTTGCGAAAATAACTTTTAAATTCTAAAAAAATCTTGGCAATTATTGCTTTATTTAGTAATTGTCTAGTATAAGTATAGTTATAGAAGTAAAAAATGGCCTACATACGAATATTGCCGTTTATGTGCCTTTTTTAACCTTTTGTAAATACCAGTTTTTCCATAGCCTACATACGAGGTGTGTTCAGAAAATAACGGGAATTGTTAAATTTTGCGGTTGTCATAAAATTTTCTTTATTATGTTGGTATACATGCCCCCGAAGTATAATAAAAACTTTAGCTGTTTTATTGTTTACTTTGTCTGTGGCAGCCGCTAAGTTTAGACGTGTTTTTATGAGCTCAGGGATTTTCGTTCGTTAAAAGAAATGGATCAAAGAATTGGTATCCAATTTTGCTTAAAAAATTAAATAAACTCTGTGAAATGTTAACAAAGGCCTATAGTGAGTCTGCTATAAGTAAAACAAGAGTTTACAAGTGGTATAAGAGTTTCCAAGATGGCAGTGAAGAAGTTGAAGATGACTAACGCCCCGAACGCCCAAGCACATTAACAACCGATAAAAGCATGAAAAAAGTGGAAGAAATGGTTATAAACCATCAGAGAAGTCAATGATGATGTTGGTATATCGATTGGCTCATCCATTGAAATTTTTTCAAAACGAAAATTCCCGATATTTTCTGAACACACCTAAACATAATCAAGTACCTATGCTATGATCCCTAAAACATTTACTAACCTTATCTTCTACTATACCTTTTCAACTTCAAATTGAGACTAGTCACATTTATGTTGGGATCAGTCATATTCAAAATAAGAATAAACAAATTCAAATTTAAAATATTCACTTTTAAAATGAGAATAAACAGATTGAAATTAAAACCAAACAACGTCAAATTGAGACTTGTCAATTTCAAATTGACCAAGTATTAAAATTAGGAAAATATATATTTAAAAAATATTAATTTATTTATAATAAAGTTTTAAACATTTATATCAATTAAATTTAACGCATCAGCGATAAACCTATGTACGTGGGTAACAAATCTAGCACAATTATTAATATTTGTTAATGTTAATGTTATCAGTTATAATATGTTCTCTTACTTTTAAAGACGAAATTCACTTTGAGTCATATTTGCCATGACTTCACCAGCCAAAATATGAGAAAGTTCCTTACAGGCCAATGTTCAATGGGATTGAACATTGACCTGTAAGGATCGAGCCTCAGTAAATTATGATTCCCAAATTCCTCCTCTGTAAATACTTCTTCAATAGCTGCATGGCTACTACCAGCACCACATTGGTTTGGTAAATGCTTTGAGCTGCACGCAGGCACTACGTCAGTCAAACTAATTGGCTTCTTCCCTTCTAAAAGAACCTCTTCTTGTTTCGTGGTAAATTAGGCCCATTGTTCCTATGCAGCCTATTAGATGAACCGAGTACCTTTTTGGTACATGTATATAAAAGGAGTTGGTAATAAAAAAGTTGTTGCACATATTCCTGAAGATTTCTTTTATTTTCTTCACTGCTGGTTCATTCGGTCTCTCTGCGAATATCTTTTAAAGTAAACATTAAGCCATCTAAATGCTTCCTTAAACACTCAGTTGAAACAGTGATATGATGGTTTACCTCAAATTTAAGTTTTAGTTCTTTTAGCCTTGGATTTTCCTCAACGTACTAAATAGTAAAATTATGATATTCTTCAGAAATTTTTACTCTCCTCCTTCCACCAAGTGGTCGCTGGTTTTCCTGGTTCTTCACCCATCGATATGCTTCACACCAAGAGCTAGTCCTCTCCAGTCCAGTTATTAAAAATAGCACAAATTTGTTTACGGATATGTTGATTATTTTTTATTACATGTAAATTTTCTAGAGTACACAGTAAAAAAATTTGCCTGTGTAAATTTTTTAGTGTAGGGGTAAAAATATTAGAGTTGATTTGTAAGTGTAAAAGTTACACTACAAAATACACTAGGTATACCTGCTATAGCATTTAGTGCTTATTAACTTTATTAAACACATTTAAATAATATGAACATTATTCATTGGTACATTTACACTATTTATTATTAAAATAAATCAAAAGGGTAGAAAAACTTAATGCGAGTGTTTATTACCCCTTAATGTGTTAAATAGTGACAAAATGTACACTACAGTGCATGTCAATTTTTTTGTCTGTTTTGATGTTAATAAGAGCTCTTTTTTCTTTACACTACTAGTGCACATTGTATCACAATTAAAGTTAAATTACACCAATAGTGGCAAAATAGACTGAAAAAACTGGTAATAACCGAAATGCGTTTTAAAATGTTTGGTTGGTGCCTATCTACCTACGCAGTGCATATCCGGAGATACCGCGTTGTGGAAATGTGGCATTTTTATTCAGTTTTATTACGGTGAATCCATAAGAGGACATTCTTATTTTTTGGTAAGTATTATACTTCCTTTTTCTTTAAGCCTTAATACTCAATAAATACCAATATGTTAAAAGGATGTCCATACCCGACTTATATTATGTATCAATAATTTACGGCAGTAGGTCGGGTACTTGTAACATTAATAATATAAATACTAGAGTTACCGCGAGACGAGACGAGACGAGATAAGGCCTTGTCTCGTCTCGTCTCGAAATTTCGAGATAACATTTTTCGAGACGAGACGAGACAAGTTCGAGACGAGACGAGACAAGGCCTTATCTCGTCTCGTCTCGTTTTGTCTCGTTTGTCTCGAATTGTTTTGGTTTTTTGGTTTATCTCAATTTAATTTTGAATTATCTGATAAATTCAATAAAAAATGTCTTACTCAAAAAAAGATATAAGCTCTTAAAAGTGGGATAAACTAAAATGATAACGCAGTTATTCGCCTCACTCTTAATAGATCCACGTCACAAATTGAAAACCTTTTCAATGACTTTCTGTGGTGCAGAAATGAAAAATAAATCATACCAAAAATTTGAAACAATTTATTATAAAAATACGCACCGACTAGGTCAATTCCACCTATACAAGAAACTGAAGAAAAATCTGGCTCAGATGAAGACATGGATATTGAATTTTTATCCAAAAAGGCTACTCCTCAATCCGAAACTGAAGCGTTTTGGAAAAAAGAACTAAACGCATACTTTTATTCAGAGAGAGCATCAAAAGGGGAAATATTGTTGGAATGGTGGAAAAGAAATGAAGTAAATTATCCACACATTTCAAAGATGGCAAGAGACCTATTAAGTATTACCGCAACAAGCGTTCCTTCAGAACGCCTTTTTTTTAAAAGCTGGATTAGTAGTCACTGAACTTCGGAATCGACCTAATGCTGAGTCGGCTCGTTCATTATTATGTCTTAATTCATGGTACACTTGTAGGTACGTTAAAAGATAAGCTAAACTTTGATTAGTGAAACTTACCTATTCCTATACTTACCCCATGCTGTAATACCAAAATATTTTTTAATGATTTAGGATTTTTTTTAGTTACCTATTAGCGCTTGAGAAGGCACGACGCGTGTGTGAAAGCTCTTAAAACGTAAAAGTTTAAAGATTAAAACCAACAATAATTTTTAAAAAGTGCAAACTAATAAAGTGAAACAAACAATTTTCATAGAGTGCAAACTAAAATGGTGTAACGGTCATTGAGGAGTAAAGTGTTAAGTGATATGAATGAGTGCCACCTGTCATTGGACGCTTTTCACTGGACAAACAAAGGAGGTCAAACAAGAGGGGAGGTGGCCATCCGCAAAAAAATTGATAAGTTACCTTAGAAATATGCATGACCTAATACAAAATCTGCAATTTAAATACGGCATATATCTTTAGGGCAATAAATCTGTCAACAACAAATGCTTAATGCAATCCCAAACAAAACCGAAAATAAACACTAGACTCACAAAATAAACTAACACATTAATCACTATAACTCTAACACAGTAAAAAAAAGCCTAATAACCAAACTCTACTAGATTTGTAAACATTAGATAACAGAATAATTGCGCTTGTCATTTGTTTAACTAATAAATAAATGCAATACTTAATTTTGGAATTTAAGAAAAAAAGACAAAACTCTACCACAAAACGTGCTTGGGACAAAATTTATTAAAAACAACTGACACACTTTACCAAGTGCAGAAACTATTTGACCAGGATACGGACAATGACAATAACGAACAAGACAAAGACCTCGACTAGGAAACTACACCCCTGCAGCGAAATAACAACTCTCCAACTCCAAATAGTAATCCCAAATGTTTGGAGTAATACTAATCGTAATTGTCCCCCAAAAACCAACACCCTCCCGTCCCTCCTCCTATACCCTACTGGGCGTATAGCATCGGCTCGGCGAACCCGAGAATGGCTATTAAAACTATTCGCATCTCGCTCTCGAGCCCCAAATAGGGGACAGTACGGAACGCAATGGACATTCGCACCCAGCAAACACGGGTGAAGCCGTGCAGTTGCTGGGGGCGAACAAAAATCGGCGTAAGTAAACATAGGCCTGTACAGGGTCCGAGAGTGATGATGAAATGGGGCTGGATACATCTTTTATACTCATATACTCATACTTACCTATTTCCCTGTAATGTGATATTCGTACTAACAATGTTAATGATATATTTAATATTTATTTTCAGTTTAAAGTTTATTGATTTATTTTGTTTATTATAAAATACATTTATTTGGTTTCTTTTTTACTGTTTATTCTCTATAAGGTATGTATGTATGTCCTCGAAAACACCATGCAGTTTTTGAATAAAGGTTTTATATTTTATTACAAGTTTTATTTTAGCAATTTATATGCACGAATTACCAGCTCATACCCTATAATGCTGTTTTTTGCTAATTCTAAAGTTAAAAACAATTATTAAAACTTAAATGTTGTTATTATCATTCGTTTAAAGCGTATTAAGTCATTAAAATATTTCGAATATGTCTCGAATATGTCTCGTCTCGTCTCGTCTCGCCTTGTCTCGAAGGATGTTATCTCGTCTCGTCTCGAAATTCGAGACAAAATGCTCTCGAGACGAGACAAAATGGCTTCGAGACGAGACGAGACGAGACGAGACGTCTCGTGTCTCGTGTCTCGCGGCACCTCTAATAAATACATAAGTTATAACGTACAAATAGACCGATATCGTTATAAACCTGACCAGCTCAGTCTTTCAGGGTCTGGGATTGGCAGTTTATTAAAGGGTTACTTACCTTTACTTATATATTGGGCGCCAAGTAACAATAAGTGATTGTTACTAAAATTAAAAAGTAGCAAAGTTTAAAACAGTAATAAAAAAAAATGTTTAATTCGAGAAGCAATATGTATTAAAGTTTATACCAAAATCTTTCTGACAGAAAAAATATATATATATATAATATATTATAATATATATTATATTATAATAACAAGACTAATTTAAATAAATAAAACTCTTTTATATCTGGCCAGCTATAAATGATTTACAGGGAAAATAGGTAAGTAATATTATTATTATAATTCTATTGTAACTATTTAAAATAAACTTAAATTAATTTATTTTCAGATCTATTTGATATCAAAGATATAACAAAAAAACTATATAAAAGCAAAAACAGGATAGATCTGACCTTAAGTGTCGGCACCTGAAGATCCCCGAAGTAAATTCAATACAAGATGGCGGCGGCTCTCAAGATTTTCCTGCCAGAAAACGTCCAAATATATTTCTTCAATGAATTTCCATAATATTAAAATTTAAAAAGAACTCGAGGAAACAACCCAAAAAAAAAACCCTATAAAAAATATTATTAAGTAACAACCCTTAACTATACACACAACATACCTTCAATGAAGGGTTTTTTTTTCCTTTTGAGATAAATTCCAAATGAAAAGTTTCAAACTTGTTTCTACAAATAAAATAATTAGCGGAACTGAAGGAAGAAGGAAAATAAAATGACTTACTGCGATGGTAGGTATCAGCTTTTAGGCTTTCAAAGCAAAAAAACTTCAATTCAATTGGTAACCCTAGATGATGGATGGCTACGTGGTTAGTTTTGGTAATCTTGAAAAATCCAGCAAACGCTGTAGGAATCGAGATCGAAAATCAACACAACTGCAAAATCCAACACACTCTCTTCCTATATAAAAATATCGTGGCACTTAAATCCCTTCAAAAAGGTTCAATTCAAAAATTCCAACAAGTATGTGCTCAACGATAAAGATTCACCAAAGGACTGACTTCCTTCTAGAAGACTTCCTTGACCTTCTTTAGACATGCGCGAATATTGTCATAAACAAATTTTAATTTACTAATTATCTAAAATATTTTAAAAAATGAGACAATAAAAAAACCACACAAATTTTACCACCATAGAATATTAAACAAAACGGCCTTAAGTCTTTTAATTTCCAAAGAAAAAGAACCCATACTTAACAGGAAATAAATTATACGCCAATAGATATCCTGGGTTACAAAAATGCACCAATAAGAAACGATTCAATTAACTGCGCTAATCAAATACCCAACTATTATTCAAAATATGGATAATTTTATATAACCAACTTGGGGTTGGAGATACAGCGCCGGCAGCTCTAGTGTCTGGGAGCTAGGTTGTGAAGTTGTGATTTTCCATACTTACTATTTTGTAGGGCGCCACTACAACGTTACAGAGCTGAAATTAACTTTTGGTCGTAGGCAAGAAGTTAAACTCAATTTTCAGTTACTTACTCAATTTTAATATGTATTGAAAGTTAAATGTTTGTAGGAATATCCTAGTTTAAAATGTTAATAATTTTATATTTAAATGTTTTTAAAACTTAAAACCCAAATAGCTATTTGTTCACACATAAAATACTAGTATCTCTACATTTATAATTATAATTTACCAATCCGCAGACTTTTATAAAATACTTAAAACCTTTTAAAATAACTAAAGAAAAATTAAACCTGGATCCATCCCTGGAGTGTTGTCTGGCACCTGTTCAGCATTATTGTTGTTCGCATGGGGGTTTCCACCTTATTGCATGGCCTTTAAACCTGGACAGCATGATATTGTTGGTCTGACCCGATGATGGTAATAACTGGTCTTTAAACCTTCAAAGGCCTGACAAGGAGCACCCCAAAGAAACCCTAATGGATTAATATGCAAATTAGTCTCGCTACCACCTAGGCTGTCAATACTTACGGATTTCTCCGGTTTCTTTCTTAAAATGTTGAAAATGTTGAAAAAAACAGCAAACTATTTAGCCTTTTTAGGGAAATAAATCATTATGGACTGTAATCGTCAAAAAAACACAGTGATTTTTATGCAAAACAAATGACAGTAAATAAACCAAATTAAACCACAACATGTAAGTATCAACCAACAATAACTAAAAATATTACTGGAAATAAGCATCAATTGAAAAAGAAACATTTAAGTATTTTCCATCACAATCAAATAGGTACATCTTTTTATTATTTTCAGGAACCTAGAGAACACTGTTGTCGATCAAAATCATCGTGCCAAGCGATCGAATTGGATCATCCATATAAAGGTAGGTAAAGTGACAAATGGCAACTACTGCCTAATAATGTAATATTTCCTGTTTACGCAAAATTTCCATTGATACAATTTTACGTTTCAGGTTAAAATTCACGAACTCCAAAGGAATTTAAAAAATGTATGACGTCACAGAAAAAAAACATATTTATTTATAACTTAAATAAATTTATTAAATATACTCTATTTACAAACAAACTGGTTGCTTTATTATCTTAATTTTAAAAATCCCAAGATTATATTTATTTTTTTCTCAAAATATTTAATTACTGAAATTTAAATGTTACAAAGTACACACTTGATTTACTTTTTATTTTACCTACATTTTTATTAATATTATGGAAAATTTGTACACGTGTGGTAAATCCCCGACATACAGCCGCCTGACGCCTCTCTACCAATGGGATCACCCATTTTTTATGACAGAAAAATGGATTACTGATGAATTCTCAAGATAATTCATTGCTTACAAGTTGACAGCCAGTAAAACATTGCATTGATCTAAAACTTTTACGGTTTAAGGAACAATTTTGCTTAAGCCATCCAAACGACTCAAATATAAAATTATATTTTAAACGGCACTGATTTTGATAATTGTCATAGACTTTTGTTCCAAATAAATGTTTCTCTTTATTTACCTTTTCGTTTTATTCACTACCACTGGTGGTCAATAGATTTTACTCAAATAATAGTGTTAAAAGAGTAAAAGTACCTTTCTAAAATTAGAACTTTTCCAAAGTAGGTAGTGTTAATTTATAGGATTTTACCCAGGAAGTGCAGAAGTACAGGATTTTAGGTAAATTAACACTTTTTAATACAGTATAAAATTACTTTATCCCGAGGGGTAAACCACTTAAAAATCTTAGAGACCAACGTTCAATGTTAATGGACGTTGTGTTTAGATTTTTTTTTATCAGTCGTTATCAATAAGGAAAACTTGCTTAATCGGTGCTTAATCAGTGCTTAGTGACGCGTTGTAGCCGTTAATTCGTAAGCGTTTTTTAACTTAAAAAAATCAGTGGTTTATCGCTTTATCCTCAGTGATAGTGTTAAATCATACTTGCTTACTTGGGGAGATACACTACAAATTAACTCTAATTGTAGTGTTATAAAACAACACTATTTAGTGCGGACCTGTGTGAACTCTAATTAGTGTTGCTTAGAGTTGATTTTTTTTTGTACCAGGTAAAATTATTAGAGTTAAAATCTAAGGTAAACGTATGCATTATTTTAACTCTTAAATCCAATCTTATCTATTTTTCATCTAGGTAACTCTTTTTTAACTCTAACTTTAGATTAAATATATTTTACACTAATTAGTCACAATGTAACTCTATAGAGTAAAGTTATAATTTAATTGATTTAGAAATATATTTCTATTATAAAAACATTTACCAAATTAGAGTAGATATTTTCAGTAAATCAATTAAATTATAACTTTACAGTAAATATATTTAAATATTATGAATCATTTAATCTATTTCTTGTTAATATCTTATTATCATAGAGTAGATTTAACACTAAAATGTGTAAATTTGTCTCTAGATAAGTAAACATTTAAAGTTATTTAGACGAATTTAGTGCTAAATTAACCATTTTTAAGTGTTAAAATAGTAATTTAACAAGAGGTTAAATAACACGATTTAGAGTAATTTTAACACCACGATGGTTATTAAAAATAGCACTAATTTTGGTAAAAAGTTACACTGCAATGCAGACTACTGTTAGTGTAAAATAGAGTAAATATTAAACTCTAAAGTTCTCTAATAAGGTGGTATATACGACCAACCTATTTTTTTTACTGTGTACCTTTGGTTGTTTGCTTATTATAACGAGTTTAAAACCAATTACCAATTAACCTGTCAACTTCACATACTACTAGTAGTTTACAGAGCTCTATAAAATTTTTTGAAAAATCTTAATTTGAGGTTGTTTGGTTTCAATTTGAATGTGTTTATTCACATTTTGATTTGGATTATTTAGTTCCAATTTGAATATGTTCATTCTTATTTTAAAACGGTAAAATTGTAATTTTGAATTTGTTTATTCTTATTTTAAATATTAATGATTTCAACATAAATGTGATTAGTCTCAATTTGAAACTAACAAGTCTCAATTTGAAGTTGAAAAGATATATATGTGGTTAAAAAATTGAAAATGTATAACTTGGAAACGAAAACCTGTAGTTTATTTTTTCCAACCGTCACTCTGTATTTATTAAAATATAATTTAAATATTACAAAGGTAAAATAAGCTATAAACATTAAGAATAATTAAAAACTAATAATAAAAAAAAACTTTAAATTAATAATAATAATAATAATTATTATTATTATAATCAACAATTTTGATTAAATAATTATTTTGAAATCAAACTTAGCTATAAAAAACTAAAAATTACGACAACATAGGTAATAGTGGAATGTCATATAGAGGCTTCACAGCAACGGTTTCAATATTTTGAACGGTGGTTGTAGCGTTATCTTGGACAAGGGTTGTACTAACGTCTAGAACTGGGGTTGTAGTGTTATCTTGAACAAAGTTTGTATTAACATCTTGAACAGGGGTTGTGGCGTTATCCTGGGCAGGAATTGTACTACTACCAGGTACCTGAATTGTACTGTTATCAGGTGTTAACAGTATAAAATCTGATAAACCAAACAAAAAATCTAAAAAAGTTGACTCGATATTAGATTGCAAGTTTTCGGAAATTATTTCGTTGATTATTGTAATGTTTATAGATAAATTCGTCTCAGGGTTGGTGTAATTTTTTGTGGTTGCTTCTTTTGTGGTTTTGTCATTAGATTCGTTATTGTCGTTATCGTCATCAACCTCTTCATCATTGTCTTGTGCGTCATTGCCGTCATCACCATCGCCGCCATTATCATTATATTTATCATCATCAGCCTTATCATAATCTTCATTACCAGTTGTTGAACCATCACTTGCAACATCATGAAATTCGTGGGGTGTAGAATTATTTATAATTATGCCTTTATTTGTGCCAGCTGAATTGTTTTCTGTAGGAGCACATACTGCGATATACAGAAGTTGGGATGAAATAATAAAGATCTGTAAAAATATATAAAAGTTAATTAATGTTTTTCACAAAAGTGGTATTTTTGTTCTTTACTTGATTTAGTTATTATTTTAATTATTATTATTTTACCAATATACACGTATTTTATTTAAAGTAATTTATTGCCCACAAACGACCTACAAAGGTATTGGACTAGACCAGGTTACATGGTAATAATTACATACAATATTAAGACAAAAAACAAATATTTTAAATTACATATTTGGGTATTCCCCAATACTGTAAAAATAATTTTTCTCTACGACTACTTAAGAATAGTAACATTCTAGTGTAATTTTTGATCATAGAAAGGATGTTTTTCTGCAATACTGTGCGAGAATATTCCTACTCTTGTTTAAGAATGGTCACAAGTAACGACATCTCCTGGCTGTTTACTAAACGTAAAAAATTTAAAAATATTTAAATATTACTGTATTATTTTTTAATTAAAAAATAATAGCAATTGTATTATTAAGGTTTAGGCACAAAAAATTAGTTATATTTATTGTTTTTCAAATATACAAATCAAAATTATAATAAATTTGATATTAAAATGATAAACCAGTTACCTACTATACCGGCTTTGAAGTTTTGACAGATTCAAAAAGTTTAAAATGTAGAAAAAGAATAGATGTTGACATAGATTACTTGTAAAATTAGTTTTGTATTTGTTACAATGATATTTTTTTATTAGTTAGTGTAAATAACTATTTTTTATTATAATAAAGATTTAGGCATACCCTACCATTTGTTTAAATTTATTATAATTAACATTATAAAATTATGACAATACAAAAAACTTAAATGTCAAAAACTGCTTGGTTTCTTTTCTCTTGTTAAAATTATATAAGCGTTACTATTCTTACGTAGTCGTAGAGAAAATAATGTCTGAAACACGTTTGGAATAGCATATTCCACTCTCGTAAAACCGTCACACTCGCCTTCGGCTCGTGTGTCAAATTTTTCCTCGAGTGAAATATGCTGTATTCCAAACTTGTTACAGAATGTACTATTAAATTAAAAACTGGTGCAGTTTTCTTTTGAAGATATTTATTTTTTTAATGGATTTTAAGTGTTAGGGAAGTTTGTTATAAAACTGAATTACGGCATATACAAGATTTTGCACATGTGTGCACACTCGCATGCTTATACTGTGTTTAGAAATCCTGTAGTCATTCCGGGATCTAGTATTATACGTGTGATCATAGTTGTTGGTTAGGAAAAAGGATGAATTACTTACTAACAAAAATTAATACCTCCTTAAAATAAATACACGGTATTGTTAACATATTTAGTTCCTTAAAAATTCTTCTACAGGATTTTCCAAACCCCATACCAGCTAAGTTTCGTAGGCTCTCTTTGCTCTATACAAACACTGTGCAAAATTGTAGTAAATTTTATCTAAATATTGTTTATCCTTCAAAACATTTTATATATAGTATACGAAATAATTATGGGACATATGGCACCTCATAATATTTTAAACAGGTAATTGTAAATTTTCTTAATAATTCTTAATAATTAAGAAATAAATCTTCTTCTGTAGCTGCTAGCCTGGCATCAGGAAGTTAATCAGTATCTTCGGTCCCTTTTAAACAAAAAAGTTATTAATTTAATCGGTGAGATTAAAAACAGTACAAGATATTTTATATTTTTTCTACTCCCACCTTTAAAACGCCCTTTATCGTTCATGTTTCCATGACACTAAGTGACCTTTTAAATACACATTGACAAGTTGTGGCTTTATGGCGCTTTAGTCACGGGCTGAAGTTAGTTTTAAGTTAGTTGACAGTTGTCAAATGTAATACAATCGTTAAAATAAAGTGCCTTTCTTGTAAAGTAATACTAAATATGAAAATTATTTTATTATCTCAATACAAAAATACAAAAGTAATAAATAGTTTCTCAACGCCAATATTTGAAAAGTTTATATGAACATTGTACTGACCTTTTAATTTTGCCGGTAGTAAAACTATAACTTAAATTTGGGCACGGACTTCATAAAACATTTTCTTTACTTTCACTGTGAAAAACTGACAATTTTCAAGAAATACATTTCGATTTATAACCTTTATAATCTGTGTTTATAAAATATAAAAATTTAACATTTGACGGTGACACACAGATTCCCATATTGTTTCATAGATGGCGCTCAATACAAATTTTTGATTAAAATTTTAAGATAATAATAAGTATTTGTCGTAGAAAAAGTATAGTATGCACCTCGTTTATAAACTTTTATATACACTCAATAATTTAAGCACTCGCTCGCAAGCTCGCTCGTGCCTAAATTAAATTCGTGTATAAAATGGCGTTTATGAAACTTGATACATAATATACTATTTTAATTTCATAGTTCTAAAAGCATTTTGGTGGGAATATTTCAATTTTTTATAAAATATAATAAACATATTTTGTAAATTGATTTATATCTTCTGACAAAAATGCGTTTGGAACTTTAAAATTCCTTTTAGAAAATAACTTGTCAAAATAAATTTTTTGGACTTTTGCTGTTTTTTATCTCACCGATAAATATAAATTATAATGTAAAAAGCTTGCACTATACAAGTCAAAATAAGACGAAAATCTAAATAAATAATTTCCTAATTACGTATGTTTAAAATATACAGGGTGATAACCCTATTGAAAATGCCATATAGAACCATATAAAAACACGTATCTGGATTCTATATGGTTTCTATCTGGTTCAATATAGGTATTTGAAACAGGCATTTCACTATAGAACCAGATAGAAGATTACATTATAGAACCAGATAAAAACACTTTAAAACACTATAGAACCAGATAGGGAAACCTATCTGGAAATACATATAGAACATGGCGGAAAGAGAATAGGTGTCTTTACGCGCCGCGAATAAAAATACCAAGTATTAAAGTTATTTCCAATTCTATAAAGCTAAAAGTGTACTTACTGAGTATCTAATTATAGTGATATAAAAGTTTAAAGTTATCTGTGCGAAAATGATTACAAAACAGCTAACCCAAGATGTTGAGGAGATTCTTCTTAGTGCATTTCAAAAAAAGGAAATTTTAGCTGTCCTAGTTACTTCATTGGCAAACTCTATCACAACTCTATTGGAGCAAAAATTAGCTGGGATGCAGGATGAGCTCAAAAAGGTCAGTGAAAATTGTATAAGTTTGGAAAATAAATATACAGAATTAAATGAAAGACATGTAGAATTGGAAAAAAATATAAACAAAAAACCAATAACATTGAACAGTACACACGACGTTCGAATTTACGCATATCTGGTATGAAAGAGACAAGTTCCGAAAATGTTGAAGAAAAATTTATCGAAATCTGTAAAACGAAATTAAACATTGATTTAAGGTCTAAAATCGATAGATGTCACCGTATAGGCAAGGTGAATAAATCAAACCAAGATAAACCGAGGGGCGTCCTTGTGCAATTTTCGAACTACAAAGTAAAATGGCAGATTTACACTAACAAAAAATCTCTACAGGGCACCGGCATTTCAATCAAAGAAGACTTAACGCAGGAACAACTGGCTCTCTACAAGGAAGCGTGTGAAAAATTCGGATTTAAGAATACCTGGACTGTTGATGGAAAAGTCATGGTTTTTGAAAATAGTGAAAAAAAGATTTATAAAAAAACATAGATTTAATTATTTGTTTACTTTAACTCAATGTGAATGAACTCGCATAAAAAATGTACTTATTTATTTTTATTGGCGGTACGGATACCTAATGATTGTTTATTTTACCTTAAGTGTTTCTTTTCAATTTAAATTTTACTTAATATCAAATTAATCCTTTATATTCTAACTAAACAAGTCAATTTAATTTTTTCTGTTATTAAAATCTTATATCTTTCGAAATCTTTTTTTTTGTTAATCGTTCTTGTTATACCTATACATCTATTACTATATTAAGATTAAGATAGCATAAACAATGTACCTTTAAATTTTCAAATTAAACTTTAGTGCTATGGAAACACTAAAAATTGCGCATTTAAATGTTAGAACACTAGTTGGACACTTTACGGACTTTAAAAATACTTTATTAGCAAATAATTTTGACATTTGTGCGCTAAATGAAACGCGTCTTGATACTTCTATACCCACAGAATCAATTAATATAGATGGCTATCGTCTTATTCGTTGTGATAGAAATAGGCAGGGCGGGGGAGTCGGGATTTATATTAAGGTGGGACTAAAATTCACAATTTTACAAATTGGTGGTAACTTAGAGCAAATTTGGCTTTGTATTAAAAATCAAAATTATGTCACTGCAATAGGTGTAGTCTATCGATCTCAAGAAATAAGTTATACTAGGTTTTGGGAGCTGTTTGAGTTGACTTTTTCCAACATAATTTTACATGCAAATGACGTAATATGCCTTGGCGATTTTAACTCCGATTTATTAGCCTCTAACAGTGAGTCAAAATTTGTAATGCAGACTCTTGATGGTTTGGGCCTTGAGCAAATAATTAATCAACCTACTAGAATTTTTGGGACGTCCGCTACCCTGATAGATTACATTCTCACTTCTAATGTGAGTATATTATCTGAACCAACTGTAGTATCTACTGACATTCATACTGATCACGAACTTCTCTTTTGCAAATTAAAATTTAAAAAAGAACGTAACATACCAACTTATAAAACTTATAGGGATTTTGTAAACTTTAATCCAACGCAATTTAAATATGATTTAGAGTCACTGCCTTGGCGGAATATTTATGACATTAATAATATCGACGATAAAATTAAATTTATAAATGATAATATAACTACGATTTTAGATATTCACTCACCTTTTATAACCAAGCGTATTACTAAAAAATATGCGCCTTGGCTTACTGTAAATATAAGAGAAATGATGAATGAAAGGGACAGGACTCTTAGTCGATATAAAAAATATAAAAACATGGTTGACTGGGATACTTACAAAAATTTAAGGAATACGGTCTCTCTGGCAGTAAAAAATGAGAAAAAAGCTTATTATAATTCCGAGCTGGGTGGTTGTAATTCCAATAACGTTTGGAGCAAATTAAAAAAATTAAATATCTTAAATAAAAAAACATCATGCATACCAGATAATCTTTCTAATGTTGAAATACTAAACAATTATTTTTTAGACTCTGTACCCAACTTGCAAAAAGATGACGTCACAGTAAATTTTTATAATAATAATTATGCGAATCCCAACGCGCCCAAACTAACATTTACTGAGGTTACAGAGCAGGAAGTCTCTAAACTATTAAACCAAATTAAAACCAAAGCTGTGGGATGTGATGGAATAAATATTCAAACAATTCAACTATGCACCCCCTTTATTCTGCCTTATATTACTCATATCATTAACTACTGTTTAAAAAATTCTGTATTCCCCTCCTGCTGGAAGAAAGCTTTGGTTATACCGTTACCCAAAAATTCTGATCCTACTACCCTAGACCATGTTCGTCCTATTTGCATATTGCCAACGTTCTCTAAAATTTTGGAAAAGGTTATTCAAATACAGCTGCTGAAATATTTACAAATAAACAATATTATTCCTGCAACGCAGTCTGGGTTTCAGCCTGGCCTTGGGTGTTGTACGGCCTTATTAAATATTAGTGATGATATATTCGCTGCATCAGATCAGGGATACTTGACCATTCTAGGTATGCTCGATTACACAAAGGCGTTCAATTGTATAAACCATGAAACTCTCATAGCTATTTTACACTACATAGGTCTATCTGATGCAGCAATCAACCTACTTATTGACTATCTAAATGAAAGAGTTCAGGCAGTTATATATAATAAAAATATGTCATCATATAGAAAAGTAGAAGGTGGCGTCCCCCAAGGGTCAATTTTAGGTCCACTGCTGTTTATAATTTACATCTCTCAATTTATTTTTGCTTGCACTTCTGCTAAATTACATTACTATGCAGACGATAGTCAATTTACAATTTCTTTTAAGCCAGAAGAATCTTCCCAAGCCGTTGCAGCCTTAAATTTTGATTTAAATAATATTTATGAGATTTCAAAAAAACATTGTCTTGTATTAAACACTAGCAAATCTATCTTAATGATATTTGGTCAAAAAAATCAAAGAGGGCACTTTTTACAAGAGTATACTGATGCAATTCACATGAATAACACTGCCCTTAAGTTTCAGGATGATGCCAAAAATCTGGGCCTAACTATTGACCATGAAATGCGTTTCACAAAACATATCTCCAAGTGTTTGAGTAAGGCTTATTTAAACCTTCGGTTTATATATCAAAGTAGGGAATATCTTAGTAAAAAACATAAAATTATGCTGTGTGATTCATTGGTTTTATCACAGTTTAACTTTTGTGATGTAATATATGGTCCTTGTTTAACCTTATTTGACAAAAATCGTATTCAAAAAATTCAAAATTCTTGTCTCAGGCTAATACATGGAATTCGAAGAAACCAGCACATTAGTCATACATTAAAGCACACAGATTGGTTAAATATGGAAGATCGTAGGTACCTACATTCTGCAGTTACATTTTTTAAAATTCTAGTTTACCAAAAACCTACTTACCTCTACACTAAAGTTAAATTTCGTTCAGAGATTCACAATTTGAATTTGCGTCATAAGCACTCCCTTGCATTTCCAAAGCATAGCACTGAATTGCTTAAACGATCATTTTCGTATCAAATAGCCAACTTATTTAATAAATTAAAATTTAACCCTTTTAACTTAAAAATTCATCAATTCAAAAGCCAAATCCGTGAAAGTGTTTTAAAAAACGCCTGAATATACATAGTTTTTATTAAGTTCGTCTCTCTTTATCCAATTTTTACGTGTTTCCTTCTTCACTAGTTATGTAGGTACACTAGTAAAAAGATAATTGCACAGAAATATTATGTATTGACGCTTAGTTAGATAACTTATTATTTATGTAGCTATATGATTATTTTTGTTTTTTTTTATTTTTGTTAGATATTTCTTTTCTTTTTTGTTTTTCCCTTAGGGTTAGATGTAAGAATAGACTTACATGCTCTAGGCAGTAGTTTGGAGTGTGTAAGAACTAAATCTCGCCCTGTATTTAAATATTGTACAATTGTAATTCTGTATTATAATCAATAAAGTCCTTTATTATTATTATTATTATTAACAGAAACCAGATAAATCCATATACATCCATATACATGTCTTTATAAAGACATGTATATGGTTGTATATGGATTTATCTGGTTTCTGTTCTATATGTATTTCCAGATAGGTTTCCCTATATGGTTGAATATGAAAATTTTTAAAATGGAAATCCATATTCAACCATATAGAATCCGTAATGTAAACCAGGACTTTCCATATAGGACCTATAAAACCATATAGAACCAGATACGTTTCCTTATCGGATTCAATATGGGTTCTATATGGCATTTTCAATAGGGAAAGGTTTTTATACCATTTTTACACCATTTTTTACTATTACAAAGTCCCGTCCGTTACGCTTTAAATTATTAGTTTTTAAGGAATTAAACAGTCAATCACGATACCTAATTTTGCCAAATAAAAACCTTGTTAATCAGCTTTAGTTTAGAACTATTTATAAAAATTTGACATTGGTAATATAATAGAACAATATTATTATATCCGTTACGCGTGGAAGAAGATACCTTTACTTGATTAATATTTTACCTGAACAAATATTTAAGACTTATTACTTACATGAATTAAAATTTTCATAATTAAACAGGAATATCAACTTGAAACTTCGCGAACAAAATGTTTTTTGTTAAAAATAAATAAATCTCACTTTATTTACTGTTAATTATATTTTAAAAGGTTTTTTTATCCAAAGAATGCCTTAATAAATACATTCCAAATATTTATCAATTGCATAAAATGTTAAAAATTAAAAATTGCTTATCAACATTATTAACAAAATTACTAAAATTAGCTATATTGGTAATTACTTCTTTTGTTATTATTTAAAGTTATTTATATTAAATGTTAATAGTCGCTTTTTTATAGAATTCATATTTCAATCCTAAAATTGTCAGTTTTACATTGTTTAAACTATCTGTGGTGTAAAAAGTAATCTAAAAATGGTGTCAAAATCAACAAATGGTCTGACGGTACTAAACCAGATAGTTATTTTTTTTTAATTGGTTAAATTAACCCGGAAAACTTTAGTGTAACCAACCCGCTGTATGGTTCACTTTAAAAACATTATCTCTAGCGAGTTGAAGGTTCCATTTTCTGGAATAATACCACTGGTAATGCGTAATGCGTCCTTTTTTCTGTGTAGTATGATTTAATTTGACCACAAACTATGAGGCGCCGTTTGTGTCAAAATTAAAAGTGCTAAATAAACTTATTTTGTTTTATAAATAATTAATTATATGCTTTATAAAATTATTATTACTTTTGATTCGCAGAAAATTATTTTATAAAAAAATAATTTTATAAAAAAAAGTTATTTTATAAAAAACATGAACAATACGATCACCGTAGTGCTGTTTATAGATTTGAATAGTTAATTATTAGTTAAAGGTGTAAATCATTATTTGTTTTGCATTTAACTAGAAGTGCTTTCTTATAAAAAACGCATATACCTATAATTATAGGTATATGAAAAAACGTTTAAACATAAAGAATTCTTGTTAAAAACTAAAAATCAAAATAAATGTAGATGAAAAAATTAATTAATTAATTAATAAAAATAATAAATTATTATTTTCAATCGTTTCCCCAAATTGCGTTAAACAAAAGCACAGTCCGTCATAAAATTGTATCTGGGGAGGGGCGTTCGGGTTCACTCGGGTTTACTCGAGTATCTACAAACAAAGAGAGATGGCTGCTGTAAAAATTAATTTATAAATGCGCCCGTCGTCTTTTATAAAATAATTTTTGATTATAAAAAATTATTTTTTTATAAAATAATTTTCTGCTTTTGTTTAACGCAATTTGGGGAAACGATTGAAAATAATAATTTATTATTTTTATTAATTAATTAATTAATTTTTTCATCTACATTTATTTTGATTTTTAGTTTTTAACAAGAATTCTTTATGTTTAAACGTTTTTTTCATATACCTATAATTATAGGTATATGCGTTTTTTATAAGAAAGCACTTCTAGTTAAATGCAAAACAAATAATGATTTACACCTTTAACTAATAATTAACTATTCAAATCTATAAACAGCACTACGGTGATCGTATTGTTCATGTTTTTTATAAAATAACTTTTTTTTATAAAATTATTTTTTTATAAAATAATTTTCTGCGAATCAAAAGTAATAATAATTTTATAAAGCATATAATTAATTATTTATAAAACAAAATAAGTTTATTTAGCACTTTTAATTTTGACACAAACGGCGCCTCATAGTTTGTGGTCAAATTAAATCATACTACACAGAAAAAAGGACGCATTACGCATTACCAGTGGTATTATTCCAGAAAATGGAACCTTCAACTCGCTAGAGATAATGTTTTTAAAGTGAACCATACAGCGGGTTGGTTACACTAAAGTTTTCCGGGTTAATTTAACCAATTAAAAAAAAATAACTATCTGGTTTAGTACCGTCAGACCATTTGTTGATTTTGACACCATTTTTAGATTACTTTTTACACCACAGATAGTTTAAACAATGTAAAACTGACAATTTTGGGATTGAAATATGAATTCTATAAAAAAGCGTCTATTAACATTTAATATAAATAACTTTAAATAATAACAAAAGAAGTAATTACCAATATAGCTAATTTTAGTAATTTTGTTAATAATGTTGATAAGCAATTTTTAATTTTTAACATTTTATGAAATTGATAAATATTTGGAATGTATTTATTAAGGCATTCTTTGGATAAAAAAACCTTTTAAAATATAATTAACAGTAAATAAAGTGAGATTTATTTATTTTTAACAAAAAACATTTTGTTCGCGAAGTTTCAAGTTGATATTCCTGTTTAATTATGAAAATTTTAATTCATGTAAGTAATAAGTCTTAAATATTTGTTCAGGTAAAATATTAATCAAGTAAAGGTATCTTCTTCCACGCGTAACGGATATAATAATATTGTTCTATTATATTACCAATGTCAAATTTTTATAAATAGTTCTAAACTAAAGCTGATTAACAAGGTTTTTATTTGGCAAAATTAGGTATCGTGATTGACTGTTTAATTCCTTAAAAACTAATAATTTAAAGCGTAACGGACGGGACTTTGTAATAGTAAAAAATGGTGTAAAAATGGTATAAAAACCTTTATCGCCCTGTATATTTTAAACATACGTAATTAGGAAATTATTTATTTAGATTTTCGTCTTATTTTGACTTGTATAGTGCAAGCTTTTTACATTATAATTTATATTTATCGGTGAGATTAAAAACAGCAAAAGTCCAAAAAATTTATTTTGACAAGTTATTTTCTAAAAGGAATTTTAAAGTTCCAAACGCATTTTTGTCAGAAGATATAAATCAATTTACAAAATATGTTTATTATATTTTATAAAAAATTGAAATATTCCCACCAAAATGCTTTTAGAACTATGAAATTAAAATAGTATATTATGTATCAAGTTTCATAAACGCCATTTTATACACGAATTTAATTTAGGCACGAGCGAGCTTGCGAGCGAGTGCTTAAATTATTGAGTGTATATAAAAGTTTATAAACGAGGTGCATACTATACTTTTTCTACGACAAATACTTATTATTATCTTAAAATTTTAATCAAAAAATTTGTATTGAGCGCCATCTATGAAACAATATGGGAATCTGTGTGTCACCGTCAAATGTTAAATTTTTATATTTTATAAACACAGATTATAAAGGTTATAAATCGAAATGTATTTCTTGAAAATTGTCAGTTTTTCACAGTGAAAGTAAAGAAAATGTTTTATGAAGTCCGTGCCCAAATTTAAGTTATAGTTTTACTACCGGCAAAATTAAAAGGTCAGTACAATGTTCATATAAACTTTTCAAATATTGGCGTTGAGAAACTATTTATTACTTTTGTATTTTTGTATTGAGATAATAAAATAATTTTCATATTTAGTATTACTTTACAAGAAAGGCACTTTATTTTAACGATTGTATTACATTTGACAACTGTCAACTAACTTAAAACTAACTTCAGCCCGTGACTAAAGCGCCATAAAGCCACAACTTGTCAATGTGTATTTAAAAGGTCACTTAGTGTCATGGAAACATGTACGATAAAGGGCGTTTTAAAGGTGGGAGTAGAAAAAATATAAAATATCTTGTACTGTTTTTAATCTCACCGATTAAATTAATAACTTTTTTGTTTAAAAGGGACCGAAGATACTGATTAACTTCCTGATGCCAGGCTAGCAGCTACAGAAGAAGATTTATTTCTTAATTATTAAGAATTATTAAGAAAATTTACAATTACCTGTTTAAAATATTATGAGGTGCCATATGTCCCATAATTATTTCGTATACTATATATAAAATGTTTTGAAGGATAAACAATATTTAGATAAAATTTACTACAATTTTGCATATAGAGCAAAGAGAGCCTACGAAACTTAAAATAATTTTATAAATAAAAATTATTTTATAAAAAAATTATTTTATAAAGAAATAATTTTATAAAAAAATAATTTTATAAAAAAATAATTTTATAAAGAAATAATTTTATAAAAAAAAATAATTTTATAAAAAAAAGTTATTTTATAAAAAAATAATTTTATAAAGAAATAATTAAAAAAAAAAAATTACTTTATAAAAAAAATTATTTTATAAAAAAATAATTTTATAAAAAAAATTATTTTATAAAAAAATTATTTTATAAAAAAATAATTTTATAAAAAAAATATTTTATAAAGAAATAATTTTATAAAAAAAAATTATTTTATAAAAAAAATTATTTTACAAAAAAATGATTTTATAAAAAAAAATATTTTATAAAGAAATAATTTTATAAAAAAAAAATATTTTATAAAAAAAAATTATTTTATAAAAGACGATGGGTGCATTTATAAATTAATTTTTACTGCAGCCATCTCTATTTGTTTGTAACTCGAGTAAACCCGAGTGAACCCGAACAATTTTATGACGGACTGGGCTTTTGTTTAACGCAATTTGGGGAAACGATTGAAAATAATAATTTATTATTTTTATTAATTAATTAATTAATTTTTTCATCTACATTTATTTTGATTTTTAGTTTTTAACAAGAATTCTTTATGTTAAAACGTTTTTTCATATATATTATATCATATAATTATAGGTATATGCGTTTTTTATAAGAAAGCACTTCTAGTTAAATGCAAAACAAATAATGATTTACACCTTTAACTAATAATTAACTATTAAAATCTATAAACAGCACTACGGTGATCGTATTGTTCATCTTTTACGGGAGGAAGGGAGAAAGGAGGAAGGCAATCTTTAAATTAGGCTTTAGGCGCCAACAAAATTCGCATGCGAGTCCCGGGGACTCAGGTGTCGAATTAAAGGTTAAATTAATTTACTTTTAAAAATTTAGATATTTAAAATGTAAGGTAATCAATAATAACAGTTAATTATTAGATAAAGGTGTAAATCATTATTTGTTTTGCATTTAACTAAAAGTGCTTTCTTATAAAAAACGTTTAAACATAAAGAATTCTTGTTAAAAACTAAAAATCAAAATAAATGTAAATAAAAAAATTAATTAATCAATTAATAAAAATAATAAATTATTATTTTCAATCGTTTCCCCAAATTGCGTCAAACAAAAGCCGAGTCCGTCATAATTTATGACTCATAAAATT